GCTTTTATGCAGGGGAAGATCCTGTGTGCCTCGACGAAATCAACGCTGCTCGCGAAGCCGCTGGACTGGCGCACTTCAAAGTGGCAACACAGGAAGAACACAAGTTGCCTAAAACTGAGACAGACCTAGAAGAAGGAGAATATACTACATGGAATCCTGTTTGTGACGCTCTGATAGCAGTAAGTGTCTTCCCATATGGCCTTCGAACTTCGACCTCGTATTCAATATTTCATGCTGTCGCACTTCTTCGTCCGTGCATTTTTCATTTCAGGAGAACTCAGAAGAGCTAGAAGAAAGCACAGAAGGATTTAAAAGTGGTACATACGCCTTCATGGCCTTGGAATCGGAGACGCCCGACTGCGCCGCCGCAGTGAGCCACTGGAAGGACGCCGCCAGCAACTTCACTACAATCCCTCCGGCGAAGAATAAAGAAACGGAACTCTACGACAAACAACATAACGTTTCCTTCATTGCTATGTACAACCCTTCCAACGATGCCGCTGCTGACTGCCGAGTCGTTACCTGCACTCTACCTGCAACTTCCAGCCCCGGAGCAGCCAACTTCCGGAACACTGAGAAAGAGAAGAAAGGCTATGCTCTACTGTGCATGACCACACCTGAAGCACTCAAAGACAACGAAGCTCCCTTCACGTAAGTTGGCCACCAATTCCTGCAAAACGCTACTTGTGTAGATGGCTACGCCTGTGGATGCGAATACAGTTTTGTCTGTTATTCGTCTGCTGGTATGTTGCACACAGGGAAGAGCAGTGGAACAAGATCAAGGCATCTCTAACAGGCTCAGCCGCTGCTGTTGCCCCGAGTCTGCTTGCCGTGGCTATTGCGGCCCTTGGCTTGGTTACCCTTTAAAGCAGTGATATCTCCGTGGCACCCGGCGGTTGCTGATACTGTTCAACCAATGCCGCGCTCCGCAGTGTTTTATTAAAATTTCCTTCCTTCAGAACGGAGGCTCTGACTGGCGTGTACAGCTTAAGCAGATCTTTGCTTCCCGCTGCATCCTCAGGACTGCGGCCATAGAAAGCTTCCAAGACACGCCCTATATACTCTTGCTTGTGCCTGTGGGATTTACGCTGCATGCGCCGCTAGTTAGGAGCCTTCTCAGCCTTTTTTATTTCTACGGGCAGCAAATGCTTGCTTGCCTCGGGTGCTTCTGTGGCACTGTCATGAGTCTTAGGTACTTCTTCCTTTTTACTGGTTTCATCGACCGGCATTATCACTCTCAGGCCATCCATACAGCCACCTTGTGCACCGGTGCGTGCTTGCGCAGATGTTTTCGCACATTTTTGCATGCATACCGCCCTGCCCTACATGCGTGCGCGTTGCAGTAAGTCTAGGGACCGGCCGCATTTGGCACTTTTTAGGCTGACGAAGTACAGAGAGGAAGCTGAGGAGTTTGATAGGAGTGTTTCTGCCTTTAGCATTTTCCCTTTCTATATTCGGGCGCATAAGCCTTGAGAGCATCGACGCAGGGCAACTCCCGTCGATGAAGGGGCACCATACAACACACTGGTCACGGCCAAGAGAGGGGCGAGCCACAGTCCCGAGGCAATTTATACTAATAAAATTCATACATGGCTCACGTGCCTTATAAGGAATTGGTGCATTGACAGGACAACATTAGTCGAGCACGAGGGGCCTCGGCCCTCAGTATCCCCGATTCAGCCAGAATGCCAGGGATTTTGCGCTGGCGTTTCACGTCGCGTTCGGCGGCGGTAGGGGGCCCTGTGTAGACAATAATGATTGAAATACCTCATTGAAGTATTTTTAACAACGGCAGTGTTGTAAACTAAGCTCCAGCACATAAGCACAACGACTCCACGCCGGACGGGATGGGCCAGCCGTAGTCCGCTCCCTCGCCACCTCCTCCTGCACACACACTGCATAGCATATTGTTACGTCTGTTCTTGAAGCCCCTCAATGCTTTCCCCATTCCTCCTGTTTTCATTTGCACACATTCAGCTTCAACACTGAAAACATGGCGGCCCTTAAACTTTTTTCGCTCGCCTCTGCGTCTGCGTTCGTGTTGGCGAACGCTGTCCATCAAACGGCAAAGCAAACTTCATTGACACCGCAGGGAACATCCCCAACCTACACTGTAAAACTCGGTACGTTGGCAAATACTTGTTTGCTGGGGAGCGGTTTCGCCTTGTGGTGCTCCAGAGTAAATGCATCGGAGGCGATGATTTGTGCTGGAGTTTCAGTCGGCTTGGAAGCGAAGAAATCTTTCGAAGGGCATTAAATGGCTCCACCCCACTTTTGCAAGTATTAGTATTTGTACATTTGAGCCTAGGATGTCTGTGTCGTTCGTTTCTCTGCAGGCAACTCTGGAGTATGCCTCGACGAAATGAACGCTGCACGCGAAGCTGCTGGACTGGAACACTTTGAAGCGCCAGCCGAAGAACTAACGTGGCCTCAAACTAGCGCGGAGAAAACAAGACAGCCAAGTACTGCCTGGAATCGTGTTTGTAAAGCTCTGATAGCAGTAAGTGTCCTTCATTGTGACTTTCGTCCTTCGGCGTCCTACCCATAATTCATGTTGGCTCATTCATTCATCCGTGCTTTTTTCTTTTCAGGAGGACTCAGAAGAAGGAGACGTTGGCGCATATGCAAATGAATTTCAAAGTGGCACATACGCCTTCATGGCCTTGGAATCGGAGACGCCCGACTGTGCCGCCGCAGTGAAGCACTGGAAGGACGCCGCCAGCAACTTCACTACAATCCCTCCGTCGAAGAAGCAAGAACCGACACTCTACGACAAACAGCAGAACGTTTCCCTTATTGCTCTGTACAACCCTTCAGAGAATGCCGCTGCTGACTGCCGGGTTGTGACCTGCACTCTACCAGCAGATCAGGCACTGTCAAGGTCCAACATCCGGAGCGCTGAGCAAGACAAGCATGGCTATGCTCTACTGTGCATGACCACGCCTGATGCACTTGAAGGCGATGATGCTCCCTTCGAGTAAGCTGTCAACCATTTCCTGCAAAGCGATAGCTGTGCACAGGGCTGGGCATGCCGATGCGAATTCAGTGTTGTGTGTTATTCATGTGTTGGCGAATTGCGCGCAGCGAAGACCAGTGGAACAAGATCAAGGCATCCATCACAGGTTCAGCCTCTGCTGTTGCCCCGAGTCTACTTGCCCTCGCTATTGCCGTCGTTGGGTTGGTTGCCCTTTGAAGCAGTGATCTCTCCGTGGCACCTGGCTGCTGCCTATACTATTCAACCAAAGCAGCGCTCCGCAGCGTCTTATTTATATTTTCCTATCCTCAGAACAGACACTCTGACTTGCGTGTACAGCTTAAGCAGGTGTTTGACTTCCGCTGCATTCATAGGATTGCGGCTATCGAAAGTTTTCAAGACGCGCCCTATATATTCCTGCTTGCGGCTGTCGGATATGCGCTGCGTGCGCAACTAGTTAGCAGGCCTTCTCACCCTTTTCACTTCAATGGGCAGCAGATGCTTGCTTGCCTCGGCTGCTTCTGTTGCGAGGACATGAGTCGTACGCACTTTTTCTTTTTTGCTGGTTTAATATTATCACTCTCCAGTTATAAATCCCGCACATGGTGAATCACTGCATGCTTGCACAGGTGTTTCCGCACATTTGTGCGTGCATACCGCCGTGCATACGTGCCTGTTGCTGACGAGAGCAGTAAGTCTAGCGAGCGGTCGCGGTTCGCACTTTGCAGGGTGACGTAGTACAGAGGGGAAGCTAAAGAGTTTGATAGAAGGGTGGCCGCCAGTAGCACTTCCCCTCTTTATATTCCGTCGAAGGGGCCTTGGGAGCATCGACGCAGGGCAAGTCGCCCCGACGAAGGGGCACGATACAACGCCCTGGGCCGCGGCCAGAATAGCGGGGAGCCACAATTTCAAGAAAATGTATGCTAATAGATTTCATAACTGGCTCACGTACCATATAAGGGGCAGGCAGATGGACAGAACAACA